TCAGGAAGGCAGAGTGAATTGCCATTATTATGGCGAATATTTAGTTGATAAAATCAAGCCTCAACGATATTCCACGATAAAAATAAAACCAAGATGCCAAATGTGCTGCATTGACTCAAACCTACACACTTGGGTAATGATCAAGACCCGGTGGCTAGTTCCTTATTACAGCTCTAAGTCGTCAGCTATGGGTACCTCGGAAACCTGGCGGTCGTGGAAAGTGAAATAACTCTAGGCACTATATTAAGATTTAATTATTAACATAATTGGCTGACCCATGAATCGATAGGAATTTGGTTGGAATAAGTAGAGCAACAATAAAAAAGAGGAACAATGAGGATAAAGCCAATGCCATAAGGAATGTTGAACTGTAGAGGAAAACGGTAGCAGTAAAAGAAATAATAGAAAGTAAAGACAGCTGAAAACATATAACAGAACAAGAGCAAAGATACCGGCAAAAACCCAAAATAAAGCGATCTTAATCAGTTCAATGATTAGTGGGAAGCTAAACCAATCCATAGTGGAAATAAAATAACACAGGAAATAAAGACTCCAGTCCAAATACTGAAATTTTAGCAGTTCGATATCCTACATTTTTTCTCCTTTTTAAATACCACGCCTGGGTATAAAATAAAATGCAAAACACCGTATGGATAAGTTGTGAAAGAATTACTAAAATAAGACATTTTCCCGACTAAAATCAATCAAAATGCTTGCAGACGCTCTCGGCAACATTCCTAACAACGAAATATATACCCAGACAGCAGAAAAGGCCAGTTGTGACAGTCAAACTTGAAGTGCAGCACATGCTTATCTCATTCCATTGGCATAAACAAAAGCAGATAGCATTATCGCTATGAATGTATGGAGGCGCAGAATGGCAAGCTTTTATAAAAAAAAAGAGAACAAGTAAGAAACAGCCAGCAGAGGGCAAAATTAACAGATAGATTTCCAAGCTTCCTGGGGCTTAATTCAATAAATCAATATCAATTAAAGACCGTTAAATGCAGTTAAATACGAAAAATAGATAATGTAGTTGATTGTTATAGCAAAAATACGTTTACTTCATCGACAATCCCACCAAAGAATGTGATATGAGAAAAGGCCTGGCCTTCCTTGAAATCCACATCTGCCCTGTGACCCAAGGGCACTCGTGGCAATGTGGCCAAATGGCTAACGTGTCATGCTCATATGCTGCACTGTCCCAATTCGACTCCCGCTGGGGGTGTTGATACGACCTATGCGAGGTCGAAACTGCAGTCCATTCTGGATGAGAACAACTTTTGTTAAATCAAGGCTATGTGAAATTGAATGAAAACATTAGCTCTACTCATATAAGTGTGGGAAAATTCTACTATGAAATGGGGTGAATACATCTCATATAATATATGAAGTCACTCAAGATCATTCAACAGAACGAAGAATTGATAAGGAATTCTCATTTAGTATAGTGTTAGGCGACCTATGGCAATTACAGTCCTTGTTCAAGATCTACTGATAGGTTCGAAAAACTGCTGAAATGTTTTGAAAGGCATTGCTGTGTGAGATTGAATGGAAACGTACGGTATACTCATATTAATGAGTCACCTTCGTCACCTTAACGAAATAGGGTGAATACATAGCATATATGTCATCCACTGGTAGTCTCGAAAAGTAATTTAGTCGATTGCTATAAGAAATACAACTTTTCTTTACCAATAAACCCACCACATAATATAATATGAAAAAATGTCTGGCCTTCCTTAAAATGCCCAAGGGCACTAGTGGCAGTAGTATAGTGGTTAATGTTCCGAGATTATATGCTCAATTAGCACGGTTTGAGTCTCACTGGGGATGCTGAGGAAACCTAGGCAAAGTCGAAACTGCAATCCACCCTGAATGATAATACCCTTTAGGAAGAAAGGCTATAGTAAAATTCAATGGAAATGTAAGGCCTACTCATATGATTATAAAAAAATCAACTAACAATCCTTCATCACCTTGACTTAATAGGGTAAGGACATGTCAGCTCCACAATACCTTTACTTAGCCTAGGCCGTACCCAAAAAAGCTATTCTGGAATAACATTTAATCAAGTATCCTTCTAGGCCATACAATGAAAGGTGCACAAAATTTCAATACAATCTACCTTAATGCTACTAGCAATAACCTCCAGACCGTCCATTCTTAGAGAGAGAAAACGCATCTCCTGTTGAATTTGTGCCTGTCTTTGTGCCCCCTCATCAATTGCGGATTTGGTCTGGCAAGTAGACTTAGTAGAGGTTTTCCTTAGGGATCGAGTAGTGTATCGGTGACGACATCTAGTTATGGGATCGTCGCATTGATCGAAAGGTTTTTCTGTGGTCGACAGTGCCAGGCTTCTGGCCCGACGCGAGGAGATATTTGGACCCTCAGAGGCGAAAGAATTGGTCTGGAACTGATGCTGATCAATAGGTAGTTTGGGCATTGAAGCTAGGTCCAATGGAACCGGCAAACACTCCTCTTCGGAATCCTCGAGAGCCGGGATGTCCTAGTTGAAAACAAGAAAAGTACGACAAAAAGATTTTTTTTAATAATTAAAAGTATCGTAGATATGAAGACTAAGATAATGCAGCCTTTTGTTTGATCGCAGTCTAGTTTGGATACTTTGTGTCGGCTTGACTTCGTTTTCGCAACTTGGTTGAAGTGGCAGGGAGATCCAATAAAAAATACCTAGTTGTGTTTCCTTCGTAGGATTATTCATGATGAGTTTAAGTATCGGACCAATGACTTGCTACCTTTCCAGACGTTTCGCCGGTATCGTAAAAAGAGGCGCCATTCTTAGCACAGAGTTACAACTTATTCAAGTGACAAGTGAAGATAATCCCCTCTGTTTTCTATTTAACCAATGTGGCATCACTACTCGCCCATATTTTTTGTCCTAGCTTCTAGTGCTACATTCCTTTCCTTCAACACCATTTCAGATGGCGCATTTGCCTGATTTCCGATGCTATTCTCGGGGCTTCTGGATCATGACTCATGCCTTTTATTTGGCCTTCCTCCAACCTGCTTGTTCGTTGCTCCCTGCTAAACATGAAAATCACTCATATGAGATGTATTCACCCTATTTAGTAAAAGGTGGTGAAGGACAGAATGGTAAACAATTTGTATGTTTCTGACCATCAATTTACTAGCTCACAGTGGACCCACGCCGATAACTTAAGGCTGATTCCAGGTTTGACTTCTCTCACTGCAATCGCATTTTCTTGGCTTCCCGTTGTCTCTCATTATCCTCTGCTTGGTGACGTCTCATCCTGGTCTGAGCGTCTTCTTCTAGCAGTCCTCGTTTATTATCCAAGTCTGCTCAGGCAGTACATGAAACTATCATTGACTCTTCCCTCTTCCAATCTTCTATCATTAGGTTTTTTGAAAGAAGATGTTCATGGCCTCCTTGATCTTCTGTTTTTATTCATCTCAGTCACTTCAACCAAGTTGCGAAAACAAGTGAAACTAACACTAACCAGCCAAAGGAGGATGTGACCAATCAAAGGCTAAACCATATTGATCCTGATATCTACTATAAAGCAACTAGTCATAAAAACTAATATTCCTCAAATTTGCCTTCAGATATTCTTATTTAAATTTATTGTAATACAGATAGGTATATGGGGCTATGTTTGGGCATAAGCTCGGTATGATATCGAGACAATAGACCTTTTTTTTATTTA